CAAAGGCAAAGTGTTAAACATTTCTGATCTTTAAAAGCTAGCATGATCATTTCTTTTCCTTCATTATTAACCACAGGTTCTCCAAATAAGTATCTTATTCCCTCAGTGGAGAACAGTTTTCTTTTTTTTATTTGGTGCCATTTGTGGCTTCTCTCTTTAAATATCTTCCAATTTGACAGGCATTAAGTAGATGGCTGAGCATTAACCAAACAGAATGGACTGATGATTTGGCTCACTGCCTATACCATACTTTATGAATACAACCCAATGTCTAGGCTAACATGGAGGCTGAATTACCTTACACCCCTAGAGAGGATGGCTCCTCCAGGTCAGGGTGGAGATCATTACCAGGGTAGTAGTGTATGGAATCTCGCATTGCGGCTGCCTGCACCGCACCTAGACTGTGGATAAATAGAGGACTTCAGTTTTCATTGCTGCAAGTCCTTTTAACATGAGTACATATTCACTCATAACCATAGAAAAAGAAAATTTAAACGTATGGCCTGAAACTTGGTGAATCACTAGCTTCGTATTTGGTGAATCACTATAAGAGAGAATTTACTTCAAATGGCACTTGTGACACCTAAAAAATGAACATTTCTAAAACCTACAGAAATGCTCCCACTAAGGCTGGTCTCAACTGCAGCTTCTTCTACCGCTCTTTGCCAGGAAAAACTGACACTTTCAACCACACAAAACAGTACTGACAAGTGTTACATTTGTACACACGAAGTTATTTTTTCAATTAAGCTACCAAAGACACTCAGTTTACTAGTCAAAAAACCAAAGAAAAGGTTTACAGTTCATACCTACCAATTATTCCGTAGATATTATTTATAATGTATGCAATTATACAAAATGTATTTTAATACTTACTCCCCAATTTTTTGAAGTTCACCACCCCTTCCAGTATAAAGTGTCAGACATCCTTTCCACATGGATGCATACCTAGAGAGAAAAGAAACATTATTTCTTTAGAAATATATTTATTTTCTTCTATTTAAATCAAGTAAATCGTCACACTATATATTTTTTGTATTAAGGTAGAAGTGAGGATCAAGCCTCTCTATCCACCATAGTAAATCAAATACAATAAATCTAACTTTGATAACTTGCTATTTACAAAAGAATACAAAAATTCTGTTGAATTTTGACATAATTATCTAAATCATAACAAACCCTGGAAAATAAGTCTTTTCGCAAAGCATTATTATACCTGATGATCACATCTTTAGTCAATCAACAAAAGAAAAGCTTTTAATTGCAGACATTTAAACAGAAACTATTTTTCAGCCACAGGATATGTAAAATCACCCTAATGTTTCCTTTACAGTCTAGTCAAATAATGATATGTTTTTCCTTCTGCCTCCATAAAAGACACAGGATTTCTAAGCTACCGAAGATCTGGTAGAGTTTTAAAGTGCTAAAAAAAAAAAAACTAAGGTCGCAAATCTTTCACCTATCTGCCTTTCCAAACATGCAATTTTTAATACCACACTGGGTTTGTAGTAAACGAGCTGGCAATTGTTTACTCCGAACAATTTTGAAAGCAGACAGCATCGTTAAATAAAATAATCCTAGATAGATAAATGGTAAATTAATATTATAAAATCAATCCAAGGTTTGGTTCTCAATGGTTCTTTGTACAACTACTATGGTTACTTCTTGACTTTAACTTATTATACAGTTCTCTTATTAATAAGGGTTATTTATTAAAGACACCATTCACCACTCTTAAGTTATACAAAGTGTGGCTTAGGAGATAGTGCATTAACATTTCACCTTACTAAAATAAAAATTAATGCATATTTTGAGAAAAAATTTGGTTACAATTAAAATATTTAACATTCACTTTAAGAAATGAGAACACTGAGGTGTTTTCAGGATATTCTGATAAACATGTTGATATCTGAACCAACCATTATTTAGATTTTAGGTATGTTTTTCTTCAAAAGCCATTTTTCTTAGATTCAACCAGAATTTAAGGGCCTTAGAATGGGCCAAACTCCAAGCTGAGTGTGTTATTTTGGTAAATAAAGTATAATTATTCCCATTTCACAGAAGAGGAAGCTGAAGTATGAGGTGTAGTAACTTCTCAAGGTCATACTGTAGTAAAGAGTTTCTTTAGTTTTTAATTTTCGTTTAAATTGTACTCCCAGGTAACTGTTACCCTTAAAATTCTATAGATACCTAACTAATAAGTTTAATTTTCCAATAATTTTTTTGATGGAAACACCTATGACTGTCACTACAGAACATGAAATACTTGAAATAAGATGCTGTTTTTAGCATAAAAAATACTTTCAATCATTGGGTGAAAAATATTTGGGGAGCCAAAAACTCCAATTATACTAATCAATCCTCACCATACATCCCTAAGTAGGAATTCTCTTTTGTTTTTTAAAGATGTGGAAGTTTAAAAAACATAGTTACTGTCATGAGTCAGTGTTATGAGAAGAAAATGTCTAAGTCCTGACTCTCACTTCCTGCTTTGATGACACTTTACCTCACTTCCTGAAGATGTTGTAAGCCTGTAAGGTAACATCAAGGAGCTCTAAACTCCTACTCAGTGCTTTCCAATACTTCTAAGATTCTACTTATTAGGCCAACATCAATCTCCACCACTTTCCCTGCAGTTATGATAAATTATTACAATTTTATTGATCTCAAAAGCTTCCAAATTCTGTTTCCAAGATCCTTTTCTGACCTTTTATCTTCCTAAGATAAAAATTTGGTAAATCTCTACAAGCAATCTACTTTTTTTAAAAAAAAAGTTGTACTATTTTTTAAAGCCACCAATCTGCCAATTGACTCTTTTGGATGAAGGTATTGCGGATGTCTTTCTGTCAAACATTTTCTGTGTATCCCTTTGGTTTTTGAACAACATCCACCTTACAACAGAAGACACAAGAAATCATTTTGGAGAATGAGCCTTCCAGATACTGTAAAGTTTCCCTCTTTTTCCAAGTACAAATTTGACGTATCACAGAAAACGCTAAATCCTTTACCTATAATTTTATGTCCACATTGTCTAAATAACATAAGTAAAATATTGGCCAGGATTTCAAGTCATTAAAAATGGAGGAGGGGTGGAAAACAACTGAGTGGCAACTATACTAAAGAAAACAACTTATAAAAAAGAAAAAATATGGACTATATCAGTCTCCTAAAAAGACTCATTGACTCTGAATAGAATTAAAAATCTATGCCGGGCGTGGTGGCTCACGCCTGTAATCCCAGCACTTTGGAAGGTGGGGGCAGGCGGATCACCTGAGGTCAGGAGTTGGAGACCAGCCTGGGCAACACGCTGAAACCCCATCTCTACTAAAAATACAAAACTTAGCTGGGCGTGGTGGCACACGCCTGTAGTCCCAGCTACTTAGGAGGCTGAGGCACGAGAATCTCTTGCTTGAACCCGGGAGACAGAGGCTGCAGCGAGGAGAGAGAGCGCCACTGCACTCCAGCCTGGCGAAAGAGCGAGACTCCGTCTCAAGAAAAAAAAAAAATTTAAAAATCTACTTAACCTGTAAATCGGGGTGTAGGCGCGGATTTCCCAGCTGAAACCGACTGCCTTTCACCGCAAAGGTGTGTTACATCCTAGCGCTGCCCACCATTCAACGTTAACACCAAAGGGGCTCAAAACTCCTCAGAGTGGCCCACAGAAAAGGCGGGGGACTTCAGGGCTTGCCAAGATCCCGGGAGCCGGCCAATTCCGATTCTGCAGACTGTTACGTCCCCGACTTTTTTGCACACCTACCCTCTGGTCAACCGAATAATATCCCCTGGCTGTATAAGACCTCCGATCTCATCCCACACGGAAATAGTGATGCTGCCCGTTTTATCTGCTACTTTGCACGATCTCACTTCATGGCCGTCTTTGGTTTTGGTCACGCGTCCTGTGAGGATTTAAAAATCAAAGGGAGGGGATGTTAGATAATGAGGACATCCAGAAAGGCTAACTCCTCCTCCGGTATTTTAATACATCTGGAAGGTGGAAAGTGACCAAGCCCAGGGCTCCCGCCTCAGGTAGGATCCGATCTCCGGCGGAGGCCACTGGAGCCACGTGGGTGGGGGAGGGGAAGGAGGGGGAGGGGAGCCCCGGGCGCGCAGCGGCGGCGCCCCTGTCTCCCGCCCCGGGACGCACAGCGGGCGGTGGAGTGGGCTGCAAACCCCACTTACCTATCTCCAGGACAATAAAGACGACATTTAAGTTTTTCAGTCCGGGCTTAATATCTCTTATAAAAATAAGTGGGTCGTTGACCCTATTCATATTGGGGCAGGTGCGGCTACGGCTGCGGAGACGCAAGTGGGCAGGGCGGGGTCAAAGCTTCCCACCCTCCCGGGACAGGGGCGAGGGCAGAGGGGCGACCTTGGGCAGGGGTGGCGACAGAAGGGGCAGAAAGCGGTTAGTCAGGGACCGGGGAAACCAGCCCGGACAGCACTGAGCCTAAAAAAAGAAAAAGGGAAGAAAAAAAGGGCTCACAAGTTCTAAAGAAAAAAAGGCGAACCACTCCGCAAACCAACCCCGCTCCCAACCGGGCGACAGGACGGCAAGCGTGCTAACTGCCCCGTTCTTTGGATAAAAGGAAAAAAAAAAACGCAGTGAGGGGACACTTCTGCCCTGAGTCCCGCTCACTCACACGGGCGCGCGCCCAGCCTGTCCCGGGCTCCGGGAAGGAACGGGTTGTGACAGCGAAACGGGAGCGGAGACAGAACACCGCACGCCCAGCGTCCCAAACAGCGACTGATGAACACGCCCGCGCGCCGGCAGGACCCTCGGCCCGCCCCGCCCCTTTGTGACGTCACGCTGCGTCGGCACGCCTGCTGCCACGCCCGCCTGGTGCGGGGGAGGGGAAGCGAAGAGGCGGGACCCAGCCGCCGCTGCCCGCAGAGCTTCCCTCGCTCCTCTCCGGGGGCTGTCAGCGCGGGCTCCGCCCGCTCGTCCTTCCAATCGCTCTCGGCCTCGCCTCCCCCGACCGCCCGCTCTCCGCCCACTTCAGCTGTTGCGGCAGAGTGGCAGTTCTGTGCCGCCTCGCTTTCGTGCTGAGGTCTTCTGCCGCTCAATGTCCGACTTTCGGGTTTTCTTGCCTTTTTTCTCTCAGAGTTGAGCCCCTACCCGGGCCCTTTAGTCCCTCGGTCACGAGGAACGGTGGAGTTTAGAACCTGTGAGTACGTTAGATAGTTCGCAGTCGAGTAAGAACAGAGTTCGGGCAAGGGCGGCTGGTCCGGGACCAAGGGAAAACACGTTGGCATGGTGATAAGGTCAGTGGCTACAAGGCTGGAAGTTTAGCACCAGAAGGGAATTTGGAGATCAATTCAACCGCCTCATTTCAGGCATACTTAAATTGAAACCCAGAAAGGTGAAGTAATTTGCAGAAGGTCACCCAGCAACCCCTGAGCAGGCAGGACTGCAACACAAATGTCGAACGTGGCCTTCCACTGTGTAATACTAAGCAAATAGACACGTAAATTCCTTTGTAGACTTCTCATCTTTCCTTACCCCCGCCTCTCATATTACACACCTTCCCCATTTTGCCTTTCTTCTTTTACTTTGCACTTGTTTTTGTACATCTAAAAGGAATTAATTATTCAACAGCAGTGGGAACCCTTGAAACATAATCTGGGGGAAAAAATCAATAAAGTTTTCTTTATGTCGCGTAGTTCTAAAGAGCATGTGCTTTAGAGACAAACCTGGGCTCCAGTTATTTACTTGTGAAACCTTTAGGTCAATTGGCTTTTATTACAGCTTTTTAACCATAATAAAATGGGGATCCCTGCCTCGCAGAAGGTTGATTAAATGGATCATAAATTGTCCAACTAGTGCCTAGCAAATAGTACATACTCAGTATTTTCCCCTTTTTAATCCCCGTTTTACAGGCGATGGAACTTACCAGAGACTAGATAGCTAGAGAATGGCTGAACTGGGTTTTGAATCTAGTCAATCTTGACCCCAGAGCTCTCCAGCCTAAAGGTAATGTATAGACTTAGCTTGCAGTGGTGTAATTATAAGAGTCAAAAACAGACTGAAGAAATAAAATAGCAGGATAAAGTAGTGGGGCATTAAAGAATCATCTAGTTAACTCTTGGTGGTGGTAGCAGAAATGTTGGGAAAAGTGTCAGAAGCCTTAATTTTTTCCCTATTTTTATGAGTATTTTTAGATCAACCACCACTTCCCAAATATTTGCACACAAGCAGCATAGATATTATAGCCCTAGAAAGAGTTGCAAAAATTGTCACAACGTTAGCAAGAGAGTCTAGGCATTTTTAAGGAAACAGAAGCTTCCATTTCATGAACTAATAAAGCCCAAGGTGCCAAAGACACTGATGTCATACTGGAAAGTGGTGTAAAATAAAATTATAAGCATGATTTCAACATCAAGTAAAACAAATGATGAAACATGCCAGTTAATGGCAGAACCAGTGTCCAACCTCAATCCCAATCCAGATCAGAAGCTCTGATTCTACCATGGTTATCTGGCAGGACTTGACACTTCAATTGGATTGTACTCAAAGCTGTATTTTCTTACACAGGCAAAATATTCTCACAGAAGCAATATTTAAGGCAGAGCTCTCTTCTTTTCTTTTTTTTTTTTTTTTTTTTTTAAGGTTTGACAAGATCTTCAAGAGATTAAGAATAGACAGGAAACCAATTAAGAATGTTAAGAGTTGTGGCCAAGAGTTTGGATAAAGAAAGTTTGCCACTCAACTCTCAATCATTTGCCCCCAGAAAAGGGATTAGGTTGGGCTGTTCAGACTAACTGTATGGACATTTTATAAAAAGGAATCAGAAGCAGAAAATCAAGCCCCACAAAAGCAGAAGTTGGTGCTCCAAGCTGTGGCTCCGCCCTTCCCTTCCTCCACAGGAGAGAACTCAGCTGAACACCTACTTCCTTCCCTACCAACTCAGCAGTTCTCAGAAAGGAAATGGCAACCATATGCTTTCTCATTAACCAAAACGAAAGGCAGCCTTGAGAAACAAGATGTTCTGGACAATACAGAAACCCTTTGGCCCAGGCTAGTTGGTTTCAGCTACCGCTAAATCACTCCCAAAGGTGTGGTTAATAAAAAGAAAAAGGAGAGGTCAAGAAGAACAATTATTGCTATGCAGGTATCTTATATTACCATTCAGTGAAATAGATCTCCCACTCAGTCTACTCATTTAGGTCATAATGATTGTATTACTCATTCTTTAATACATACACAAGATTACTTCATGGTCTTCTTTTCTCTAAGGCTGTTGTTCTTCAAGCCTCCATTTTTCACAGCCTAAACATAAGCTTACTCTGAGATAATGGACTCTTCCACTTTATGCCCATAACCTCAACACCACGTTTTAGTGTAAAGATGCTTGCTGAGATCCACTATAATACAGAAAGGCATCCATTAGGATCCTGCACATGGAAGGTTCTGTTATCTGGGTCCCCATTGATAAAGGTTTTGTTGTAAATTTTACCCAGCACTCAGTACCCACGCTCACTCACAGGTTTTGGTTTCTGGAATTACCAAAATTATTTTCACTTTGTTTGCACTATCCATCTATTTAAAACTATTACAACATCAATGAAACAGTTGTTTGTACCAAGTACTGTTTGATTCTAAATATCTTGTATAGTGAAACTTAACAATTTTTAAAATTGACAAGAACCACAGTGTGCTCACTCACCATACAGATATAATCCACTTTGTAACATAATTGGCAACTCAAAAAAAAAAAAAAAAAACCAATGGTCTTTTCTTAATTTTCCTAAAACAATTTAACCAAAAGACTCAGAAGTAATGTTTAGTAATGATTGCAGCAATAACCACATAAATCATTCATATAGTGATAAATGCTAATACACTGAGCATTTGCTATGGGCCAGGCGTTTTACACTTATAAGGACTTTACACTTTTTTGGGTTTTGTTTTTGTTTTAGAGACAAGGTCTCACTCTTTCACCCACCCAGACTGGAGGCAGTGGCTGCACCATAGCTCACTGTAATCTGGAACTCCTCTGCTAAAGCGATCCTCCAGGTTCAGCCTCCCAAGTAGCTGGAACTACAGGTGTGCACCACCACGCCTTAGCTAATTGTTTTATTTTGTGTAGAGATGGAATCACACTGTGTTGCCCAGGCTGGTCTCAAACTCCTGGGCTCATGCAGTCCTCCCATCTCAGTCTCCCAAAGTGCTGGGATTACAGGCATGAGCCACCAGGCTTGATCTGATGTACACTTTTTGATGTGTTACTTATGTGAAGTAATTGATCTCATTTTATAATAAGTTGTGGAGCTTGCATTTCAAAATAACTGCCTGTTACATGTAATAACTTTTTCTACAAAACAGGTTATTTGCCCTAAAAAGTACATAACTTTGTTTATCTAAATGGGTAACTGGATTTTTCAAAGGCTTTCTAATTCACAGTGATAAGTGCAGTGAACATGTTATCTGATCCCCCCAATCTGATTGTGTGGGGATTGTGAAATCTACTTGTGAGGAATAAATCTGTAGTTTCCCTTGGGAAGAAATGCATCCCTAAATGGGTTAATTCAACTCAGCTACATTATCTTTATTATTATTATTATTATTATTATTATTATTATTATTTGAGACAGGGTCTTGTTGTCACTCAGGCTGGAATGCAGAGGTGCAATCACAATTCACTACAGCCTCGATTTCCCAGGCTCAAGCAGTCTTCCTGCCTCAGCCTCCCATATACCTGAGACTGCAGGCACATGCCACCACTCCCGGCTGATTGTTTTTATTTTTTATTTTTTAGCAGAGACCAGGTCTCGCCGTGTTGCCCAGGCTAGTCTCAAACTCCTGGGCTCAAGCAATCCTCCTGCCTTGGACTCCCAAAGTTCTGGTATTACAGGCATGAGCCACTGTGCCCAGCATCTTTTTAATGACATTTAATGATAGAGTGAACAACTTTGGCTTCTGTGTTCTAAAAGGCTTTTCAAATGTATCATACCTCAAATAGCTACCTGGATTTTTTGTTTATTCAGGTTAAGAAACAATATTATTAGAAAATAAACAAACTGAAGACTGACGGGACAACATACAGTGCCAAGATGCTTCAAAAAGAGTTGCTTGCTACTGTTTTCTGATGTTTCCCCTTGTCCTATTAATAAAATGAATAAATAAATAACAGTTTTGAAAAACCCAGCTGGCCCGGTTGCAGAGTCCTGTTCCTTAACAGGCCCTACAGGGAGTTTGTGACAGTATGTATAGGAGATTAATATCATGCCTGACATGTTGGAGTAGAAGGCTTGGTATCTCTTTTTAGAATTCTGACTTACTATTGTGGTTTCTTTATAATAAAGATGGATACCTTTTCTTATTTTGGAGCATTATCAAGCTTATATACATGCACACAAACATATGCCAGTAAATCACCAGGAAGAAACAGTAAATGCTTTCAAACAAACCCCTAATTAAGAGTATTACCCATAGGAGCATAGCATATCCCAGTTCTAAGGATGCTTACAAGTAATGTACGCTAACCCTTTCACATTGTGTACAAAAAAATACAAGCCCAGAGATGTTAACAAGATTACCACCTAGAGCCCCTAATGAACTAATGGATCTCAGTAACTTCACCAAAGGCTGCTAATAATCACAAAAAGAGAGACAACCAGTCCAAAACAATTAAATCAATATCTCCCAAGGTGGGACTCGGTCATCAACATATTTTAAAACTCCTTAAGTAATGACAATGTGCAACCAAGTCTGAAAACCGTAGGAGGCTAAGAGATTTTTTTTTAAATAATTTTCTTTGTTTTCCAAATACCTATTAATATGCTAGAGCAACGTTTCCTTTATATTAGTTAGGGAAATCCTGCATTGATAAATTTCTAGGAGTGAAATTATTAAGTATATATTTAAGACTTCTGATATGTGTTATCAAATTACATTTTAGGAATTTCAAAAGAGATTTGTATTCCATTTGTCCTTTGTATGTATGCATTAAACATAATTCATTAATTTATTCAACAAAATTTTATTGAACTGCTACTACATGCCAGCACTGGGACTATGTCAGTGAAAAATAATACAAAAATCCCAGACTTCATGGAGTTTACATTGTAAAGAGATAGACAATAAAATAAGTAAAATTATATCGTATATACTAGTGAAAAAGGAGGGGAAGAGATGGGGATTTAGCAGGTAGGAGTGTAGAAAGTGGTGAGGGAAGGTGATATTTGAGTAAAAAAACAAAGAAGGGGAGGGAGGGAGTCAGGTGGGTATCTAGGATAAGGCACTCCAGACATAGGGAGAGCCATTGAAAAGACCCAAGTATCTCTGGCTTTTTCCAGGAATAGCAAGAAAGCTACTGTAGCTGAAGCAGTGAGTAAGAAGAAAGTTTAGAAGATGCAGGGACCAGGGGAGAGGGCAGGGATATCATATATGAAGATTTTGTGCTGATTTTGGCTTCTTAATTTGAGACAGGAATCTATTAGAGTGTTTTAAGCAAAGACTTGATATGCTAACCTCACTTAACAGGGTCACTCTGACTGTTGGGTGGAGAGCAAAAGGAGCAACAGTGGAAGCAGGAAAATCAGGAGGTATCATATTAATCCACTTGTGGTGAGTGGTGGCTTGCAATAGGGTGGTAGCAGTGACAATGGTATAATGTGATTAGCACCTGAAGCTATGTGGAAGATAGAGCCAACAAGTCCACTGTCTGGCTGCAGTGGAGCATGAGAGAATGAGATGAGTCAAATATGACCTCTAGATTTTGATTCCGAGCAACTAGTAGGATGGAATTGTCATTAACAGAAATGGGAAGGAATACAAGTGGAGCAGTTAGGGGGATGTGGAAAGATCAGGAGGATCATTTTAGACATAAGAAGTGAGATGGGAAGAACACAACAAGGTGAGTGGTGTGTTGGATGCCAGGTGAATCAAATGTTTCTGGAAAGAGGGGGTAATAGTTGTGTCAAATGCTGCTGATCAGGTGAGATGAAACAGGATTGATCACAGGGTTTAGCAAAAATGAATATCATTGGTGACTTTGACAATGAAGTTGGTGAAGGATGAAAGACTAAGTTGAGTTCAAGAGAGAACAGAGTTCATAAATTAGAAATATGAAAGTAAGCACATATAGCTCCTCCTAGGAGGTTTTTTGCAAAGGACAGCAGAGAAATTGGCTAATCACTTAAGGGGAAAGTGGGACAAAAGAGGCGTTTTTTTTTTTTAAATGTGAAAGAAAAATAGTAACATGACTGTAGGCTGAATGGCATTATTCAGTAGAGAGAGGGAAAAGTCAAATTGCTGAAAACAAATCCTTGTCCTTGAGTAGGTGAGAGATGATGGGAGCTAGGGCTGCTGTGGAGAGGTGAATAGGCGCATAGAGGGATTTTCTGGAACAGGAGGCTGAGTTACTATGATGGTAGGAGTGTGTGGAAGGTCTTTTCTGATAGCTACTATTCCCAATGAGATAAGCAAGATCATCAGTTTAGAGTGAGAATGGGGAGGAGGTGCTGGAAGTTTGAAGTGTAAGAAGAAGTTAGAAAGAGTCATTGGGGATGTGGGGGACTGAATGAAATGGGGAAATTTATTACAATTTTAGAAGCCAACTAAAGACTCATGTGAAGAAAATGAACCGCTAATTTAAAGTTGACCAATGCACATGGTTTTGTATTTTTCTTCAGATACATTCATCTGTGAGAGTTTAGGCACAGACCAGGCTGAGAGTTGGATTTTACCGGTATCAGAGTTTTGACAAATGATAGTAATCCTGGTTTTTGCAACATTTGTTGTACACATCTTTCCCATTTGTGATTTGCCTTTTCCTTTTATCTGTATTTTTAGTGCAGAAACTTTATATTTTTATATCTTCAAATTTATTGTCTTTTCCTATCATGTGTTCCATTGATTTTTTGCTTGAGGAAATCCTTCATCATGATGAGATGATATAAACTTTTTTCTATACCTTCTTCAATTTTTATGATTAAATATTTACCTCTTATGTATGCTGTGATGTAAAGCTCTAATAAAATATTCATCAAAAAGTTACTTTATTTTTCCAATCTTATTTATTAAAGAAACAATTTCTTAGATTTATTTTTTAAAATATTGTCTATTTTTTCTATTTTATAAACTCAAGTTCCAGTTTGTCACTTTTATCTGATTTATCTGTCTGTTCTCAGTATTTAACATGCTCTGACTGTTGTATGTTTGTGATTCTTCAGCATCTGATAAAGGCGAATACCAACCTCCAGACCCCTTTTTTGTAAACATTCTTTAATCATTCTTGCTTACCTTATTTTCCTAGACTATTTTGTCATGATTTAAAAACAGACTTTTCTCGGGATTTGTTTGGAATTGAAAGAAACCTAACCACTAATTTGGGACATGCCAATTTCTTTATAACATTCAAGTTCCCCATTCAAGAACCAGGCTATGATCCTCAATTCTTGTCTTTTAAATTGTACTGGATTGATTACTCATTCACATTTTTAATATATTTTAAATCCCCTTGAAATCAGAGTTTTACTTTGGTTTTCATTTTGCTAGAGTGGTGATTCCTCAAGTAAGTTCCCCAGAAAGAAAAGAGGAAGAAGGTACCTTCTGATACTTTACATATGCAAAAATGTCTAATTTGTTTCTCACATATTTGGGGCAGATATAGAATTTCCACTTGTAGTTTTTTTTTCTTAATATTTATCATTAAATCCAATGGATAGAATGTTCCTTGAAACACTGATTTTAGAAGGGAAAAAAATGAAAGAGGCTGGGCATGGTGACTTACACCTGTAATCTCAGCACTTTGGGAGGCCAAGGCAGATGGATCACAAGGTCAGGAGTTCGAGACCAGCCTGGCCAATATGGTGAAACCCCGTCTCTACTAAAAATACAAAAATTAGCTGGGTGTGATGGCGCACACCTGTAGTCCCAGCTACTCAGAACACTGAGGCAGAAGAATCGTGTGAACCCAGGATGTGGAGGTTGCAGTGAGCCAAGATTGTGCCACTGCACTCCAGCCTGGGTGACAGAGCAAGACTCCATTTCAAAAAAAAAAGAAAGAAAGAAACCTAAGTGTTATAAAAGGAAGATTAAGTTAGTGTACTATTACTAGGGAAGTATATGTAATTTTATAAATGAGGTCAATATACTGATAAGGAAACAAGTACATGCAAAAAAAGAAGCTACATAATAATATGTATACTAACTTATTACAAAATAAAAACATATATCAATAGGTTTTTATTATAGATATATATAGTAAATATAGATATTTACTATCTATAATAAATACAGATATATGTTACTATATATGTATAGAATCATTTTCATACTATATATATAGATATATAGATGTATTTTCATACTATATGTATCAATATATTATATCTATTTCCATACTATATATCTGGAAGAACATACACCAAGTAATAACAAATCACTGTGGGTATTAAGATGTGGGAGAAAAAGAACTTTCACTTTTAATTTTATATACTCTGAAATTATTTGAAGTTTTAAAATGATGTTTTATTCATAGGTGTACAGTTTTTTATAGCCAATGTACACATTTATTTCACCTCTTTCATGCTTTTATTTCACTTGACATGGTTGACCACATCCCTTTTGTACAACACTGGGTCAGGCACTTCTCCTATGTATTCCCGTAACACATTGTACATATCCCAATTACAAGAATTTTCACTTAAATTTATAATTTCCTCTTTATTTGTGTATTCCAAGGAGACCAAAAAGTCAGGTACTCTTCCTGTTTCTAATTTTATGTTTTACCTTACAAAGTACATGTTCAATAACTATTGTTTGAAAGTGTCTGTGTGATTCGAAAGGGAATGTGTATTATCTAGCATCTGGAAAATAAAAGAGGCAATACTCAGAAGGCAGAAAAAGGAAGTGAGCTAGGCAAGGTGGAAAGTCCTGAGGGTGAGTTATGCCCATTGGTTGAGCAGCCAAACCACCAAGGGAGCGTTTCTTTAACTGCAGCCTAAGTAAGGCAAAAGGAACAAGTGGAGAACAGTGAAAGAAACTGTGCAAGAGCAGTAAGAAGATAACTGGCCTTCTCCATTTAGGGGAATTCCATACCTAAGTGGAAATGTAAATGTCCTTCTCTGGTGACCTCGTAGCTCAGCTATCCCAAGTGGGTGGGATAGATAGGAGTAACGTGGAACCTTTGAAGGGGAAGTTGGTAGGCAAATAGCACTGCGAAAGCAAGAGAGAGCTGAGTTCTTGGTTATTAAGGTAAAGCCTTAGCTATTCTAAAAAGGAAACACCAAGAAGTGTACATCTATATGCAGAGGCTTAAATAAGATGGAAGTTCATTTCTTCCTTGTGTTATAGTCC